TGGTGGCCTGTTGACACGCTGTTCCTTGACGATGATGTAAGAAGGTAAGGGCCGATCTCGTAGCTAGCGACCCGATGGGCGGCATGGAACAAGCTCTGCATGAAGCAAAGAGGCCCCGATTGTAGATATATCGTACAATGTAAAATGTACAAAGGGGGGGTCGTGCGAGGAATGCAAATCTCCGCAATCTCCGTTTGTTTTGCTGCTCCACAGCAGTAGCATGATCTCAGGTCCGTCCACCATCATGCAAGTTTCCACTGCGCGACTTACCAGCCGTAGTCTGCGTGTTGTCAAGACACTATAGCCACCGTTTCTCCTCATGTAATGAGTCTCCGCTGATGGTGTAGCTGCTGCACCGTGGATAGAGATATCAACACCGTCAGCTACACAACGTCCGAGTACACATTACAGTAGCAGTTGCTGTACCAGAGGTACTACTGCTGCTGTAGACTGGATGTTTCTGCTCGCTACCCACTTGAGAGACTGGCCTCTGTTGGTTGATTGGTTGTTCTTGTTCACATCGTGTAGCACTTTCAAGGTGGCCTACCGTCGTATCCAGGGCCTGCCTGCGACGGGCAAAACCTGGGGTGCTGCAACGGTAGAGATGGTCATCGAACCCCGTTCCGATGTACTACATACAGCAGTATTGATGTGCTGGAGTTGTGACTCTAACGAAAAAGCTTGGGGTTGCGGTGAAATCCTGCCGGACGTTGCATGGTCTGTCGTACTGCTGTAGAACTACACCAGAATGTACTGGTGTACGACTTGGTAGGCATGCAGCTTGCAATTCTTGGCTGCCTCGCGTGAGGTTTGTTGTTGCGGTGCTACATCCCACCGTCAGCCACGCTGTCTTTCTGTCCGATTATGTAGGTCTATGCAGCACTCTCCATAGCACGTCTACAGTAGTCTAGAACTCGTTTGTCTCGTGATGATGCACATGGGCGTGGGGCGTGTAAGTGTATCTCTCTCCTCTCCCACTCTCCGCCACGAGACCACACATCCATCCATCCAGATCCACTACCCTGTCGAAGTGCGTCATGCGGCGTCTTCTGATCCTTTCGGAGCGTCAACCATGCGGCGTTCAACCATGCAGCGTGTCTAGCATCGCGGTTGGCTCCAGTGGTTGAAAGTTAACATCCACATCACTTGACTCTACCCGTTCGAGGCAAACCACAGTCCAAGGAGATGCATCCACAGTCGAAGGATGTGTATTGAAGTCTTTGCAGTGAATGGGGTAGAAACCCTGCCGGATATTGGGCATTGGGCATATTCTAATAAAGGTGTCCCTTGATTGAAAAAATATATATACCTGCGAATACAATGGCCGACGACACGGTCCCATTCCGGTCAAGGCAGGGTACATGTCGAGTAACAGGGTAAAGATGTAGAGACGAGTAGCCGTGGCAGGGTATACCCCGGTCTACAGGTGAAACGCGAGGTTGAAATTGGGCATCTGCAAATCAACGAGGGTCGGTTCCACCTTCATCCACAGTATGTACCCGCCTAAGAAGGAATTTGCCTAGAGTACACCCCGTCGATTAGCTGCCGAAAATCTCACTCCCACTGTTCTTGTGTCTGCCCCTCATTGAGGCAGGTTGCGCCGTGCCGTTCGTGTACCACCGTGTCGTCCGAAGCTCGTGGGTAAGAAGACCAAGCAAGTCAAGACCTTCTTCCGCCCACCCGCCCCCACGATACCACGTTTGTTTCCAAGAACGGGGACGACAAGGCAACACCAAAAAGGCGAGAGGGGGGGGGTCTAGGTTCTAGACCGGAGTACGGTGTTTCGTCGAGAGATTTATGTTTATGGTTCTCGGCAGGTACTGTAGGTGTCGAGAGATCGAGGAGACTGATTTCTGATTTGTTCTGGGCAGACGTCGAGATCAGAGGGCGATCTCTGATTTCTGATTTCTGATTTCTGTGCAGATCGATGTCGAAATCGGGACCTCTGGTGGTTTCTTGGCAGCAGCTGTCGAGATCTAGCTGGATTTCTCGGCAGGCAGACGGCTCTCTGTGTACTTGTGTACTTGTGTACTTGTGTACTTGTGTACTTGCTCTTGCTCGCACGGCGTTAATTGGTTACGATGATAGCTGGTTCTACCTGGCCGCCTGCCTTTGCTTTGGGGAATGGGGGGGGGAAAGGCAAGGCAGGTAGGCAAGAAACCTGGGGTAGAGAAGCTGGAGCCCGTGACACCGCTATTGATATGCTAGCTCGCACGAAGCCTTGTTTTGGCTTGCGGTGAAAATCCTACCAGTCATTGAAGTATCGTTCTGTCCGACGACGCTCGGTAGCACTTGCACGTGTTCGGTTCTTGGCTCGCACGAAGCTGCTGTTTGTTCGGCGGCCGCTTGCGGTGAAAATCCTATCAGTCGTGGTCGTTCCGGCGGCGGCGACTCCGGTAGCACTTGCACGTGCGCAGTTCTTGGTTGGCGCGAAGCCTTGGCTTGCGGTGAAAATCCTATCAGTCGTCGTCGTCGTCGTCGTTCCGGCGGTCCGGCGGCGGCGGCGGCGGCGGCGACTCCGGTAGCACTTGCACGTGCGCAGTTCTTGGTTGGCGCGAAGCCTTGGCTTGCGGTGAAAATCCTATCAGTCGTCGTCGTCGTCGTCGTTCCGGCGGCGGCGGCGGCGGCGACTCCGGTAGCACTTGCACGTGCGCAGTTCAAAAGTTCGCGCGAAGCCTTGGCTTGCAGTGAAAATCCTATCACTCGTTGTGTCGTTCTATATTTCCGACTCCGGTAGCACTTGCACGTGCGCAGCTCGCTTGTCGTCTTTAGAACAGGGAAGCCGGCTCGTTTGCTACTATTCTACAGTACCAGTACCGGGCGTCGTCGTTTCAAGACGTTTTTTTTCGCGAAATCTTGTTTGTAAAGCAACAAGGAAATGGGCTGCAAATAACGCATCTGTGGCAAATGCGTGTTTTGTCATGAACATCGTTTAGTACCGCATCAACCCTTATTCTCGAACACCTCCGACCACGCAGCTCATATCCAGTGCTTCTCGGCACACAAAACGCTACCTACCAAAGCGATGCTCCACCTCGGTCAATACGTCCCTTGAGCATTTCCTTTACTAAACGCAGAAGATTTGAGTACTTCCCCGCTCGTGGTACTGCCGTGGCTACGACACTTGTGGAGGACAGCAAGACCTGCAGTTCCTGCGAAGAAACCATGAACTTGTTCTCAGTGCTACAGTAAGCGTTTCTCGCCATACGAAAGCTACATTCGTTGCACCGAAATCCGCGCCTCCGCGTGTTTCACGGCCCAATTGGCCCCCCTAAGCCACCCCAACACCACTCTTCCACCTATGATCCCCATTATTCATGTACTATGCAGCCCACACTCTTTCGGTTTTTTATTACGCAGTACATGAGAGGTTTCAGTGATCCACTCACTCAAAAGCATCCCAGGACAGCACAGCACAACGAAAACTCCCCCGAAAACTGCGTTCGACCGCCCTTGAAAACCGTTGCTGGAGGATCCACCTTGACATGTACCCGGGCTGGTATGCAGTCGGAGCTTCCGGCACTGCAGCTTCAACAGGTGAACTAGCGAGGGGAATTGTAGAAGCTGGCTACGCAACGCTCTTATCCTACCGCAAGCGTCGATCTGTCAACAACAAGCCCGCCGCCCGCACAATGAACCGCTAGCGTAATCATCTCACGAGCTGGTTTCGAACGCACGTGAAGCCTTCAAGTTTGGCATTTGTTTTCCACCGATCGTGTGTCTGAAAGCCCCCGACGGTAACGAACACACCAATTCCCGAAACGACCAACTGCTGCGTTGCGGCTGCCGCAAACTAGGTACGACCATGTTGTAGCCCCCACAACGAGCTACTGGCCGTACGTGAGACACCATCCATCAGTTCCATCCCCCACACCTCCGACCTGGGGCCACCTAGAACACCACCATCATCAAGAAAACCACCCGCGCGACTCCCCCCCCTTATATCGAAAGGCTGCCGCCCAGCAAGGGTACCACGTCTTTGTCGCGTCAACACAAACAGACTCAAGGTGCAGACGGCAAACGCAAGAAGGTCGAGCAAGAGCACCGACTGTTCTTGCGTGTCAAACAGCAGCGTGCAAGCTTAACCACAGTTACAGAAACTCGCCTTTCTGTGCCACAGTCCGCGGTCGCCGTGGGCTCCTCTAACGACCTTCACCCCCCATCAGCATCGCCCCAAGGCACAGGTATCACATTCTTTATTTGGGCGTTTTCAAGGCCGAATCGGACCGGTTTCCACGAAATATTTGACCGAGGGTAGGGTAATTCCTATCCGCCGTCGCCTTTTCGAATCCTGAGGGACGCGGCGCATCCTGGTCTAGCCCACCGACCATGCATTTTGCAACAAACGACTTCCCCGTGATATGTCCTGATCTAGCCCGCTGACCATGCATTTCGGAACAAACCAAGTCCGTCGTGGAAGACAAACACGCCGTAAACGGTGCAGCAACACCTATAAGCCACCGGTAGGCCAGTGGTAGTCAAGGAGCGCATACGTACCCTTGAGTCTGTAGAGTAGGGACGTGCGCAGTGCCTGCCGAAACCTCGCGTAAAAGAACGACACCTCGAGAGCTGTGGCCCGTACAAAAACCTATACAATGCCGCAAGATGTTTCTTTCGATGCACATCAGCGAGGGTCTCAGACCAAAACTCAACACACGAGCTACGCACTCGATGGGGGCAAACTTCACCATACTTCCGTACGATGTTGCGGAACCCCTCTGGTGGGGGGGGGGCGCATCCCCAAACAGGGGTGCCAAAGAGCGTTAACCCATATAAAATTTGTCTTCGTAGGACCACAGCCTTCCCCACGAGCAAAATAAACATCTGAAGGTCCATCGAGACGAAGGACAACCGGTAAGGAACAAGACACAACAGTATTGACACCACACATACACGATTAGGTATGTGACGGAAGGTAAGATTCGCCGCGCTACGCCCCTCGCGGCCCGTTGGTTCGAGAATTTGTTTGTGCTCCGTTTCGCTTGCTGCCTTGCACCGTGTCATCGCTTTGTCGGCATCACGTTCCGACGTCGCAGCAGAGTCAATCAAGTCAACGGGCGGAGGGAGAGGCGGGGTGAGGTACTAAGGTGGTGGCAACGAACGAGTGGTGGCGACACGCTCTTGGTCACCCGTACCCACCACTAGGCTCGGATCACACAACAACGGGCCACACGGTTAACTACTTGCTCACCACGCAGGACCTCGGGCCGGCGGCCGACGTTCCCGCGCCTCTCCGCTCCGATCTCCCGTCCTTGTGCAGGGAGTGCTCGAGGTGCGTCACGAACCGCGCCAGCTCGGTCGGCAGCCACCTGCCTTCCTTCACCATGGCGTCTCCCCCCGCAACCTGCCGCGTGCTGTCCCCGTCTTCACCGCCCAGCCCGTCCCAAGCACTGCCGCCCCCTTCCGTCCCCAAAGGAGCTCCGTTGATAGAAGGCGGTGTGCCAGAAGCGGACAGGACGGCGGCACCCACATCCGGCGGGGTATACTCCCCATCCGGCGCCTCAGGAACCGACTCGGGATCGTCACGCCAGGCTGAAGGAACCCAGCTCCCCCCCCAGGGGGAGCCGCCCCACTTGCGCGGACGCCCGGGGGTCTTGCGCTGGAGAGCCGTCGACAGCACGCCGGACATAAACCTGCGTGTGGGTGGGTGCCGTGCGCGTCGACGAGGCGCGAGGGATGCCACGCGGTCCGTGAGACATGGGGCAACGCCGGAAGCGCACAGATAGTCGCGGAGAGGTGGGTGGAATGGGAATACATTGATGGCGGATGGAAAGCCACCAAGCATGCACATGGATGTAGTGTAGCAGCAGGACCACACGCAAACGATGTGCTGGAAGATGGACAAGAACGTCACTTGGAAGGCATACGTTTCAAACAGAAGGGTGCACCGTCCGCAGTCAGGGGCATCGCGGGCGAAAGATTGGAAGTCGAGTTCCCAGAACTATTGGAAAACAATGCAAGAGAGGAAATTCGACGCTCGGCAAGCACGTTCCTCCGACACTGCTCGTCAAAACTATTTCGTGGCCTTCCCGGAGAAATGGCGTCCAAGGATCGCCCGAAAACACACCCAAACACTGCTTGCCAATCCAGACACACGACCGAGGGTTTTGTCGCCCCGCCGCGGCTGATTCTCCCGGTACACCCGGAACCCGCATGGGTGCTGCCCTCCAACCCCCAAGGTCTCACCCGCAGTGCCCCCCGTAGGTGTGGTAGACGAGGCGCACGGGGGCGCCTGCGGCCCTCTCCTGCTCCGGCAAGTGGTCGCCGTCGATGAAGGGGTCGTCTTTGGCGTTGACCACCATGAGCGGCACCCTGACTCTCGAGAGGTAGTTGGACGCGTTCACGTCCTCGTAGAACTCCTGGGTGGTGGGCACGGCAGGCAGGCAGGCGTCCATGTTGACGGGCAGGAGAGGTGCACCACGCAGCAAAGGGCATGTCGTATGCAGGGGAGGTGGGGATCAGCGGTAAAGGATGGGCCGTGAAGAGTGTTGCTGATTCGGTGTCGTAGCGAGACGCTGGGTCTGCCGTTGGCTTCCGGCCAGACCCAGCGCCAACCCTAACATTGCCTGACCCTAACTCTAACCCCAAGGTTGCACGCAGTTTTCTCAAGGCGAAACCATAGTACGACGACGACGACGACGACAGCAGCGAAACGCACGTCTGGGGAGGAGAAGTCGAAGACAGGAGACAAGATGTGGCTGTTGAACTGGGTGAAGGTCTTGACGTTCTGGACGGTCTCGAGGCTGAGCTTCTCCGGGAAGGCCTTGGCGTGAGCAGCGGCCTTCATATTCATCCACCCCATGAAGATCGGTGTGTACACGTACCTGTTGCAGCAAACGAACCGCGTTTCGAGGTTGCAGGAAACGAGAGGGACGTGCGCGATTTAGATGATGATGTTTTAACGTCACGCTCATCAACGAACGCATATAGCATCTTCGCGTCATAAGCTAACGAGGGAGGGGCTAAATCGTCACATGACGGGGTATTTTTCGAGCTATCTCTTCCCTTCCAACTGAATGTTATTCGAGCTAATTATTTCCTTGCTACGGGATCATTTTCGAGCTAGCTTTTCTTCCAACGCGATATTGTTGGAGTCATGTCTTACCTTCCAATGGGATCTTTCTCGAGCTTCTCTGCTGCGACCTTAGGCTCGAACGGTACGCAGCCGACAGCCGCGCCGTAGATGCCGAGGTCCCGCGCGCGATCGCTCTGTGGGGAGATTGGGAAGTGCGGGCAAGGCAATGGAGAAAGGACAACGCCAAAGGGTCAGTCGGTAACACCGGAGGGGGGAACGGAGCACACCTGTTGCAAAGGTGTAGCAGTGTAGTAACCTCATGGCTGTGATATGGAGGTAACAACAACCGCCTTGAAAGAGTGAAAAGGTCGTGAAACCGCCTTGCAAACGTGAAACGGCCATGAAATCGTCGTGAAAATGTGAAACTGTTCGTGAAACGGCCGTGAAACCGTCGCGGGACAGGCCTGGATGAGGTCGCCAACAACCTGGCGTGATTTACTTTCGAGATATTCAAGGCATTTGGGCAAGACTGGGCGGAGTGAAGGCTGCTACCCAGCAGTAGCGGTGTTTCGAGAGCTCTTGACTTCCCCGGGTCCATTGGATGAAAATTGTAACTCCGAGTTAATACACAACGATGATTGGGCCGGGCTGGCGCACACTCACTCGTTCGTGATTCTCTCAAATCATATCCGATGCCACCCTGAGATGAAAACCACCACACCACCCTGGAGGTAGCCGTAGCTCGCGGGATGGCCTGCGAATCACTAACGCTAACGCTACACACCATGGCCTGCGGATTACCGACGCCAACGCTTGACACCATGGCCTGCGGAACGCTAACGCTAACACCGGGTGCGTGGGTGTTTTTCACCTGCTCCCCCAAGAACTTGACGATGACGTTCCCTCCTAGGCTGAAACCACTCAGGTAAATCCGGTCCCATGTGCCTGGAAACTTGCGGTGGATCTCCTCGATCTGGATACCACGGAACAAGGAACAAGGAAGAAACCAATATAAACGTGGCGGAAGCGCGGGAGAACAGCAAACAAGTACGGATAAAAAACATGAAGAAAATGACTTTGAAACTAGAGGCCAGATAGCTCGGTACATCAAAAGTCGGCATGGCGGGAGATCGAGGAGAAACACAAATAATAATAAAGCAGCAAGCAACACACGAAAAATGAAAGTTTGTTGTCGAAGACCGAATAAACTGTAGTTTATTGTGCACGGAAGAATTTGGAACATCTCCCAGATCTACGGTTGTATTTGGGTTCTTGTTGTGGCGTGTTGGTTGGGTTGTCTTGGTTTGGTTTCTGGGGTCTTACAAAAAGAAAGGTCTCACGGAGTTCTCATTCTGCTGCCTCGCTGCTCCTGCATCAAGAGTATGATAGACGCGTGTCTACTGGACCAAGGGCCACGTGTTGAGGAATGCACAGTGTGTAACACGCAGCCCGCGTCGGAGGGTCACGCGGGAAGGAGGGCAGCAGCTAGCTACATCGAAGTTTGGACCCGTAGGTCCACCAAAATCGCCACCACACTGCCGAGACCAAGCCACCGGCTCAATCACGACAACTCTTACGAACGTCTGAAGGGGCAAGGGCGGGCGCGGGGGGGGCGGGGTAGTCTGTTGTCCTCGGCTGCTGCAGTAGAAGCTCTCTTACCACGTGAAGTAGATCATCGGTGAAACCAAGGTGGTAGCCTACAGGATACTTGCTGAGCTGCCCGCTGCACCCCCGAAAGTTCAGTGCCGCCACGTCAAATCTGCAGGGAGGCATGTCGGAAGGAGGGCAGAAAGGGACACCATCAGTCTAGCGGTCGTTCAGCAACGACACAAGACAACGCAGAGCAATGGCTAAATGGCTACGGCATCATGAGGGGGCCGTACCAAGGCAGCTAAAACTCTAAAATCCGGCCTCTCTGCAACCGCTATGATCTCTCATGGCCGCGAATTACTCTCTCAAATCCCGTACTTTCTCCTATGAAAATACCCATTAATACGCCGTAGCCGGTACTCTGTCCCGGTCCTACCCGTTCTTCGTGTAGACGTTTGAGAAGCGCTTGGTAAGCGGCGCTGTCGAGCTCCCCTCGAGTCCATGGAGCACCAGCACGAGCCGCCGCGTGCCCGCGCTCCCTTGGCCGCCCTTCCCCTTGCTCCTCTCCGCCATCCAAGACGGGTCGTTATCGTGGACTGGCTCCGGCGCCGCCGGGTGGCCAAGACCAAGGTCGTTGCTGTGAGCGCGCTCGGCCAACTCGGCCATTTCTCGGAGCTCCTCCATGTCGTCCGTCATCTTCGGATGAGGGAAGAAGAAGATCAATGAACAGGATTGGGTGAGGTTGTTTATTGAACCCGCGCGTCATCGTGGAAAACACATGGCTTTCAAGACACGAAACGTTTGTGGTTGGAGCGGGTAGATTCTGAGGGCGAGCCGGAGGGAGAGAGACAGCTGCAAGGCGTTAATTGTACAACTAACGGAAAATGAGCACAACAAGGCGGCCAGTGCGGCTACATAACTGGCCAGCATGTGCACCCCCTCCCGCGGGCAACCAACCCGCCCGGAGACGGTTACTGTTGCTGCTGCTGCGTACCTGCAAGTCGAGCCCTTCATTGATGGTGCCTTCGAGTTCTCCATTGAATAGCGCATCAGCAGCAGCTCCAGCAGCAGCAGCAGCAGCAGCAGCAGCAGCAACCTGGCTGGTGTCGGTGTCGAAACGCCCCGAGGTCTTCTCCTGCACGCGAACGGAGTGCCCGGAATTGAACAGTAAGCGAGGGGGTACACACCCGGTGCAAGAATACCACACTTTTCGAAGAAGGCTCTGAAAGACGTACACCCGGTGAAAAAATATGGCACGATTGGAAGAGGGCTCTTGAAACTGGTACACCCGTTGGGAAGATATGGCACTGGCTCTTGAAACAGTTACACCCGGTGCGAAATACGGCACTATTGGAAGAGGGTCCTTTAAAGAGGTACAACACCCAGACACGATGTGATGCACTGACGACAAATACGCGGGCAGCGCTCGAGCCCCAGCTGAGATGCTAGTTCGTGTGCTGCCAAAACGTAGAGCCGCATACGAGTCATATGTGCGATCGAACCACAGCATACCTGTCGACGAAGAGAGCCGTCAGCTACTGATTGGACCAGCAGGTTAGAGGGACGTTTCGTTTTTGTCGCGTGTGAGCAACAACAACCATGTCGACAACAATACAAATAGAAAAGACATCACCAGCGCAACAACAAACGAGCTCCACTACATGTCAAAGTTTTAGTTGAGGTCTACAGCCTTGGGGGGGGCACACTAGAGAGACAAGCGGGTACATACCCTGGGGTCGTCCTAGACGGGTTCCTCGGCGGGCAGCCAGTCTATGTCCACGAAATCCCCGTCGGATGTGGGCCAGCGCTCTCTCCAGTACCCTAGCGGCTGCAATAGAAACAAATGCCGGCCAGAATATTGGACGGGGAAGAGGGAGAGGTGGCAGCAAAATCCGCAAGGGAGATAGGACGAGGGGATACAAGGGAGAGCGGGACGCAAGCGAAGCAATCGCCTATTATTCAGCCCATGAAAAGGGTATTAGATATATTGGGAGTACTCGTAGCATAGTATGACGGTTGAGATGTCCGGTACGTACGTACGAAAGTAACAGTGATGAGATGCGGAGGGATAGGAACTTTCTACATATATTCCTTGGTTGCGAGAGGTATTTGGTGGAGATTCAGAGAGATTCGTTGAGTGACAAAGAGTGAAGGCGTGCCCAGATACCGTGAAGGTTTGACGAGCACTGGCACGCCCCCGATGAATACTATACTTTCCAATACTTTTGCATTACGTTTTCAACACGTTTCCTACCCATCCACGCTCCGCCATGAGCCACCCGCTTTGAGCTCCAACCACAAAGAACCGAGCCACCCGAATTATCGATCACGCTAGCGTTATGACACGTCGTCTACGAGATTCGCGGTCGAGCTTGGTTTAGGAGCATCGCCTTGCGGCGATCGACAGCAGGGTCAAGATGGCCTCCAGGCGCGAAGATGGATCCCGCCCAGCAGCGGAAGCCCGCCAAGCAGCGGAGGACGCCAGGATCGAAGAACTGGTCAACGAGCGAGTAGTAGTAGCAGCTCGGATGGAGCAGCTGATGGAGGAGAAACTGGCCAAGAAGATGGCCGAGATGGAGGTGCGGCATCGAGCCGAGCAGCAGCGGGGAGGAAATGAGGAACAAGAGGCAGCACACCAGCAAGATCCTGGGCGCCCAACACCCAACCCCTCCGCAGACGAGCTGGCCGACGCGATTGCGACTGCCATGGCCGGTCGCCTCCAAACCTCAGGGGATATCGGTGCAGTGTCTCACCCCGCAACTCTTCGTATGACTGAGAGTAGAAGAATTGAGCCTTGGGATGGTACAGTAGGCAGCAGAAGCTTTTGATTTTTCGATCGAGCATGGTAGCACGCTTTGCGCAGGAGGATGTTCACGAAGTAGTGATGAGCAACCAAGACATTCCAGACTTCATCAGGGGATATCGGTGCAGTGCCTCACCCTGCAACTCTCCGTATGACTGAAAGTAGACGAATTGAGCTTTGAGAATTTTCTGCCCGCCAAGCAGCGGAAGCCCGCCAAGTAGCGGAGGATATTGGTTTTTGTTGTTTAGAGAATTTTCTGCCTGCCAAGCAGCGGAAGCCCGCCAAGTAGCGGAGGATATTGGTTTTTGTTTGTTTTGAGAATTTTCTGCCCGCCAAGCAGCGGAAGCCCGCCAAGTAGCGGAGGATATTGGTTTTTGTTTGTTTTGAGAATTTTCTGCCCGCCAAGCAGCGGAAGCCCGCCAAGTAGCGGAGGATATTGGTTTTTGTTTGTTTTGAGAATTTTCTGCCCGCCCAGCAGCGGAAGCCCGCCAAGCAGCGGAGGACACCAGGCGCGAAGATATTGGTTTTTGTTTGTTTTGAGAATTTTCTTGATTGTTTTGGAGAGATGGTAAAGAGGAATTTGGTTTGATGGTTTGTTTTGTTTTGAAGTAAGCAGGACTGCTGACAAGGCGTGCCTTCGTGGTACGGTCGACTACGGGTCATTTTGGTTTTTCTCGGAGCATGACGATGCATACAAGTAGGGGGGCTATTAAATATATTGGGAGTACTC